CAGACTCAACATCCTCAAAGAACCGGGTGTTTCTCGTCTCAAATATTAACGTGGAAGTAGGATCATAAAATTTGTAACCCTTGGATCTCTCAGAGTAACCAACAAAGTAGCAGCTAACCGTCATAGAGTCCAGTTTCTTTTCATGTGGCCTATAAGGCCTAGCCTTAGCTGGACATCCCCAAATGTGAAAATACTTTAGAATAGTCTTTTTGCATGTCCAAGGTTCATAAGGGTTTTACCAGTCGCTTTTGTGGATACTGTATTAAGTATGTAAGCTGTAGTCTTTAATGCTTCTCCCCAGGGAGATTCTGGTAAGTTAGAATGACTAATCATACTTCTCACCATGTCCTTAAGCGTTCTGTTTCATCTTTCGGCAACACCATTTATAGTAAGAGAAACAGACATGGTGTAATGTAAGAGAAACAGACGTTCATCACCTGAACAGTCATACCTGTCGTAATACTCACCACCACGGTCAGATTTGACGCTTTTAATATTTTTGTTGAGTTGGTTCTCACCTTTAGCTTTGTAAGCTATGAACACGTTAGTTTTCACCTTTAGATTTGTAAGCTATGAACACGTTCAGTGATTGGGACTTTTTATGTAAAAGATAAATATAACCATAACACGAAAAATCGTCTATGAACGTGATAAAATATTGTTGACCATTCTAAGAAACTATAGGGAATGACCCATAAATATCTGTATGTATCAGTTCTAATACGTCTGTATCCATGTTGGTAGCAAATCTCCTTGTGTTTGTTTGTTTTTGTAGGTCGTCTAAAAATCACTGCAAATAGCTTATCCCTCATCAAACACCAATGATGGAAGTTACAATCTGGCGACTTCCTAAATGTTACAATTTAAAGACTGTCACGTATATCGATGAAGGTTACAATCTGACGATCTTCATAACAACTGATGAAATCTCTAATCAACAGTCTTCACAATCAACATCGGGAGTTATAATCTGACGACTCTCATATTTTTAAGGAGCCAAGACGAAGGTTACAAGATGATGATCTTTGCAACGCTCTAGCAAAAGAAACTACAAATTTACTGTCTTTTCAAATCAAGACGCAGAGCTCACCTCTGCGTCTCAAACTCAAAACGCAGAGGTCCTCCCTGTGTTACAACCTCAAAACGCATAGGTCATCCATGTGTTACAATATCAAAACGCATGGTTCATCTCCAGCGTTCAAGTCCAGACGCAGATCTCGTGACCGCGTTCCCAGAACAAAACGTATGGGTCGGACCCGTGTTACAACATCAAAACACACGGGCCGAACCTGCTTTGCAACATCCAAACACAGACTTCATTGCTGCATTTTTAGCCCAAAATGCAGAACCTAACTCTGCGTTCCAGATCCAAAAAGCGGTGCGACCACTGCATTCTCAGCCATCAAAATAAGCCCAACTCTGTGTTTCAAGTTTAAAACGTAAAGTTCGGGCCCAAAACGCTATTTTCGGCGTTTGACTCGTTCAAGCTCTAGCTGAACGGTTCCAGAAACCGTTTTTCCCTATGATTGGAGAGATTTATACCCTACTTAGGAGCGGATTAAGGGGGCAATTATACCCCTTAATCCCCCTATAAATATGGGTAAACTCAACTGAGTTCGGGGCTCTCTCTCTCTCGGTCTCTCTTTGGGGATCGCTGGCTTTTTTTGGCAGATCGGATCTCGACAATCTTTAGATCCTCGGAGTTGTTCTTGGAGCTTTCATCAAACTTGGCTTACAAACCAATTTCGGTTAAATCAATCAACTCTTCCATAGAGTTATAAATCGCTCAGAGTTCCCTAACTCGTTAAGAGTTTCAAATTTGCTTTGCAAGTTCTTCTAAACTCGTTCAGAGTTCTAAAACTTGCTTTACAAGTTCTCCACAGCGTCAAATCGTGGGGAGAAGATATCTAAGGAAATAAAGTGATTTTTTTGTCAAATGTTAACCATTAAAAGTCAACCTTAGAATTTACTGTCAACCCTTAAGATTGTACTGAATAGCGTTGACTTAATGATTAATATAAACAAAGAGAAGTTTCTGCTCACTTAACAAAGCACCACAGATGAATTTAATGTCAAAGTTGATGAATGTCCTTAATAAATAACCGAAGACAAACTCACAGAGTCGCATGTATTCTCTAACAAGAAACAAGCCATTTCATTTTTAAATTAATTGTTCCATAGTTTATGAAACTTCCACTCATTAAGTATTGGGCCACATAGATATAGGCCAGGCCCATGAGCAGATATAGACGAGGCCCATTGAAAGTTACAATAATCATATTTTGCCTAATATTACATAGAGCAAAGCACCTGTAGCTCAACTGGTAAAATGATTTGATCATATATCCAGGTTCGACTCCTGGCAGGTGCATATTTTTTTAACATATAATGCTGAAGGAGTTGGGGGCGGAGAGTATGTCGACAAACCTTTCCTTTAGTATGATCTCACAAGCCTTTTTCAGAGATATGAAGTTTTTGAGAATATAAAAATATTTTCCGGTCTCTCTATCACATAGGGCCACAAATGAGTAGTACATTTTTGTGTCAGTCTTTTCATTTATTTTAATAAGCGGTTTAGAATCTAAGACAAGATCATGAGAGTTATTTTAAAACGTCCTAACTGTCTCGATCACACGTAGTTTGTTTTTCTTTTTGTCGGTCTTTGTTAGACTCTATATCCTAATTGAATCTTTTGATTCGTAAAAAAATTATTGGGTGTACACGACAGAGAACCACATATGAAATTAGTGTCAAACCTGATGGTTGTCCTTAAAAAAATAATCAAACTCTTAAGATGAAACTCAATCCCCTAAGATAGACATCTCATCCCATTCAATTATATGAAATTATACAGAAATCGAAAACACATGCTTCAACATAGATCACACTGCGGTTAACATCTGCTTCAAAGAAAAGAATGGAGCATGTCTCAAATCAAAGTAATATTTTTTTTCCCCAATAATATATCTTCAGCTGAAAAGAACCATGCATTTTAATTTTTTAGCATCTTGTTTAGTATTCTGTGAAACTTCAAACTTGTGAAATACTACTGGGTCATGCACACCTGGTAGCAGCTCATGGACTGCATTAGTAAGTTTTAGTTCCAATGTAACTAAACCTCGCTAACATTTATTTGCATGTTTTAAACAAATATTTACAAGAAATGAGTCACGTCAATCAACTCATCTAACTCACCTCACCCAACTTTCCTTCATTTTCTACCATCTTTAAAAATTACTCACATCATCTAATAATATGGTGACACCTCACCCAACTTTCCTTCATTTTCTACCATCTTTAAAAATTACTCACATCATCTAATAATATGGTGACAACTCATCACATCTCATTAAAATTTCAAAAATTACTCACATCATCTAATAATATGGTGACAACTCATCACATCTCATTAAAATTTCCTTCCATCCATTTCCTCCAAAAAAACAAGGAAATTAATTTTCCTAAGTATGAGTCACATCATCTAATAATATAATGACAACTCATTTTCTCTCATTTATTTTCTTAGTTTTAAGAATGAACCAAACACAAGAAAGAACAAAAATAAAGAAAGTGGAGGAAAACATCAAAAATTACTCATCTCATCCAATAATATGGTGACAACTCATTTTCTCCCTCACTTTCTTTCCGAATTTTGACGAACCAAACATCAAAAAGTGGAGAAAAACATCAAAATTCATTTTCTTTCCCCCCACTTTCTGCATTTTTTTGCGAAACAAACATGCGAGTGTAGAGGGGAGCAAAATGGGAACATGAGGTGATGTTTTGGTGGATGCCTTGTCTATGAATCCAACTTTATATTGTATTTTTATGTATATTTCGAAGTCTGCGGACTATCAATGTTGAGGAGATATCATAGTTTATTGTCGCAGTGTTTCTTTGTTTTTCCATGCTTGAGAATACCTCTTCCCTAAAAAAAAAGACTTTTTGAGGCTCTCTCTTTAGATTTGTTAACTGATGAGCCGTAAGTCAAAGAAT